CCTCCTCCTCCTCCTCCTCCTCCTCCTGCTCGTCCCTCCCGCGGGCGGCATTAGCTCATCGCGGCGCGGCGGCCGCGGGCTCCGAGCGGCCTTTTTTCCCTTTTCCCCTTCGCCCCCATGGCCCTGTGCAACGGGGACGCCAAGGTCAGGTCCGAGGGGAAGGGAAGGAGGAAGGAAGGGTAAAAAGGGGGTGGGTTTGTCCCCCCCCGGGCGCGGCTCCGGCACATGGCGCTGGAGGGGCCCGGGGGTGGCGGCGCGGCCGGGGTTGGGGTTGGGGAAGGCGCGGGGATGGTGCGTGTCCCCCTCGGGTTTGATTAATGAATTCCCCTCCATCAGAGCTCTCTACCCGGCCTGTGCCACCCCAAGGGCTTGTAGGGCGGCTGGGACGGACCCCCCTCGTTTCCCGGCTTTGGGTTTGGTTTTAATTTTGGAGGGGATGCGCGTGTCCGGGTGGCTCCCGCCCGCGACTCGTGCGCCTTTGGGGAAATCAGAGCTTTTTTGTTGGTAATTCAACTTCTGAGCCCAGCCCTGCGAGCTGCCTCGAGACGCTTAAAACCCTCGTTCTAAGGCGTTTTATCCACTTCGCACGAAAACGCGACCCTGGGAGGGTTTTTTGGGCGCTCAGGTTTTTAGGCACTCAGGTTTTTGGGCGCTCAGGTTTTTGGGCGCTCGGTTTTTTGGATGCTCGCTTGGTCCCTGCGTAAGTTTTCTGACACTTATTTCCCTGGTCACACACGCAGCCTCCTCTCCTGGCCGGGGGCTGCTCCTGGGGGCTCCTCTTCTCCCTGGTTCTGGGCCCTTTATGTGGTTTGCAAGAAGACGTGATTCTGGAGGGGGTTTCTGAGTGCTCGGTTGGTCTCTGCTCATGTTTGCCCGACGCGCTTTTCCCCAGCCGAGGGCACAACCTGCTCTCCTGGCTGGGGCTGCTCCCTCCCAGCGCTGGTGATGGGATGTGGAGCTCATGGCTCATCCTCCACGACCTGTGCTCTCACGGGAAACACAGGTGATGGAGAAAATGACAGTGGTTTCCACGAGAGTTGAGTCTCAGCAGCCCATGGATGCTTCTACCTGTTAAAGCTTCCCTCACATTACGGGCTGGGGGCTCTTGTCTGGGTCTTGGGGATGGCCTGAGTTGGAGGGAGTTACTGTCCTGTTATACTTCGAAATATGAGTGAGTATTCTTCGACCTGCTTAATTTTAATACCACAGGGAAGCAATTAAACTCTTGTAAAACCTGTGCTGGCTTGAAAGCGTGAGTTCAAGGCTCCTAGTTTAGGCTTGTCCTGAGTTATTGGTGTGGGCTCAGCTCAGGGCTGAGGGCTCGGACACAGGAGCCACTGCTGCAGGCTGGGCTCTGCTGCTCCTTGGTACCCTGGAATGTGAGTGTTCTGTATGGTAACGTGGTTTATAAATTGCATTAATGAGCATCCTGCGAGCATGTGGGTGTGTGAAATGCCAAAAACCTCCCTGATTCTGCACAAGTGGGCTGTTGGGAACCTGCAAACTTGGTTTAAGGTGCTGAGAAGGTAGGTACGGGGGGAAGAAGGTTTGTGGTGTCCTCAGTAGGCAGTGCAAGCCTGGTGGCAGGTCTCCTACCACAGCTCATCACAGAGCTCAGAATTTCTTGGTTTTGACACAAAACCCCCAGCAATGTTGGAAGATTTTTGTCTTCCAATGATCATGGGGGGGTAGAGCTGAGATGGGGGAAGAAGGACCTTGGTGCCACGTTTTGGGTCTGTGAGACAGAGGGCTGTGGTTTTCAGGGTGCCTTGAGGTTTGAATTAGCTCAATACAGTCTTTCCCCACCCCTTTTTCTCTTGGTGTGCACCAATTCCATCCTGGTTTTAGTCCCACTCTCAGGACATGAGCACGGTGCCCCTGCCCTTGGACAGAGCAGCTTCCACAGAAGGTCCCAAAAATAACGAGTTTTCCAGATTTTTGTGAGAATACACCAGAAGACAAGGAACTCTCGTTATTCCTCCACTGAGGGGAAAAAGAGCTTTTATTAGAGACTGGCCAGTCCCCAGTAGGAAGAGGTGCTGGCTCCATAAGCCCCGTCCCTGCAGGAGCTGGGCTGTCTGGTGTCCTCTTAATCTCCCTCCTGGCAGACGTGTGGTGCACAAGGCTCAACTGCCATGTTGGCTGCACGTTAGCAGCATCTGTTCCCTTTTGGATTTTATTAAATGAAGTTTCCCCTTGTTAAATTTGGGTTCAAAATCCCCGGCGTTGGAATTGTGCCTCTGAATAAGCGAAGCCAGACCCTGTGCTGACTTTCCGCCTTCCTCTTCTTCCCTGTGATTTATGGCAGAGTTGCTTTTGGGCTCTCTTCAGACCTGAGCCTCCTTACAGTTCTGCTTGTCTGAACCTACTGCTCTGAAACAATTAAAGACTTTAAATAATGAACTGCAAGGAAACGGTGTTTTGCCCCAAGGAGGGCTCAGGAAAGAAGGAGGGTGTTGGTCGTTTTTGCAAACTTCTGGTTTAGAAATTGCGAGGTGAAAATGCCCAGGATCACTGTAAAAGTGATTTCCTCCATCCAGTGGAAGGGAGGACAGCTCTGGTGACCTCTCTCCATCTGACTGGGGGTTTGAAGGGGCCATGCTGCTGAAGTCTGTTCTCCTCCAGCACATGCCCTTTTTGGTGTGTAACCCAAGACTAAAAGTCATCCAGAGCTCCCTGTCAGGCACACTCAGCCACGAGCTGAAGGACAGAATCTGATTGTAAACGGGATTTAGGCTTTTGAGGGGTTTAGCATTATTTTTTTTTGCTGTTCATGTCCTTTAATTGAGATAAAACCTCTTCCAGTGACTGTAAACTTTGGAAGTTTCGAGCGTGTTTGCCTTCCTGGGCTGATCTGGGGACAGTTACCTGAGGTGTCCTGTGGTGGCTGAGCACTAAAGCTGGGAGCAGCCTGTGCTGTGTGTTGTTGGGAGATGTGTCCCAGCAGGGTGGTGCTCTGGGGTGACCTGTGGTTGGTGTGGGGGTGATTCCCTGACCCAGGTGGAAATGCCTGAGCAGGGAAAACTGGTGAGTCCTGGGTTGGAGGTTCTGCTGCATGGTACAAACATGCAGAACAACTCAACGTGCCACTGTTAAAACTTGAGATGAAGCTCCAAGATGTGCTTGGAGGCAGTTTTTCCCAGGTAAAACCCTTCCCAGTCTTTCCTTCATCAAACTGCATTGGCCAGGAAGCAGTGTAAGCTTTAAGTTAAAGAGAAAAACACCCCAGAGTGATTTCTTCAAGCAGCAAATTTTTTTCTGCATGAATTTCTTGGTGTCTTAGAGCGTGGTTGTGTTCACTCTTCCTTGAAGATCCCCCAGTAAGGACACATCCATGGAATAGCTGCCTCTTTTCACATTTTTTTTTAAAAAAGAAACTTCTCCTTGTGTTTTTTAGCCCTCTTTCAGATCTGGAGTTGGCCAGCTAATTCAGACATGATGGGCTCGGAGAGAACCAGTGCTTTGTTCTGATGTGCAATCTGCTTGAATGCAGACTTCTTTAAAAATGATTTAGCAGTGACATTTGTTCTCAATTTCTCCTTTTTTATTCTCCCCGGGAGGTAACGTCGAGTGAAAGTTCAGCCTGTGATGGGGAAAAACATTTTTCCTTCTGACTTTGAGCTGGTTTGCCTGAGAAAAAGGCACATGCTCTTGCTTACCATGGGCTGTGCTGGGGTTTACGTGGAACTGGAAACAGAAAAAGCTGCAGTGGCTGCAGATGGTGAACAGAGCATATGAGCTCTTATTTATGGAAAGCCCTGCCTTCATTAGCGTATTAGCATTTTTCTTCCCTAATTTGTGCCCTGTTTGGTTTGGGGGATGGGGATGTCACGTTCGTGTGGCTGCTTGGGAGGGATGTGCTGTGCCAGTGAATCTCACGGTCCTCACAAACTCGAGGGTTTTTTTCATTTAGAAGTTTCTTGGCTAGCCTTTATCATTTTAATCATGAATTAGCATAAGCTAATTAGAAAAGCTTTGCAGATGTTGGTTGTTGAAGAGGTCTGGCTCAGTCTGTGGTCTGTGCCACTGTGAAGCCAGGGGAGGTTTGGGTTGGATATTAGGAAAAATTTCTTTGTGGGCAGGGTTGTAAAGTGCTGGCAGAGGCTGCCCGGGGTGGCGGTGCCGTCACCATCCCTGGAAATGTTCGAGAAACCCGTGGATGTGGCACTTGAGGCTGGGGTTTGAGGTGAATGTAGTGGTGGTGTTGGGCTGATGGTTGGACTGGATGATCACCGAGGCCTTTTCCAACCTCTCCGGGTTGGGAAGCTGACGGGAGCTGCCGTGGGTGCCGTTCACAGCCCGAGAACGCCGGGGGAGAGCTCAAGGATGGGCAGCACCACTACGAGGGGGCCGTGGTGATCCTGGATGCGGGGGCCCAGTACGGGAAGGTCATCGACCGGCGCGTCCGGGAGCTCTTCGTCCAGTCCGAGATCTTCCCGCTGGAGACGCCCGCCTTCGCCATCCGGGAGCAGGGATTCCGGTATGGTCTGCCCCTGAGCCCCCTGCCACCTCCCCTCCTGCCCCTGAACCCCCTGCCACCTCCCCTCCTGCCCCCGAGCCCCCTGCCACCTCCCATCCTACCCCTGATCCCCCTGCTCCCTTCTCCTCCTGCCCCCGAGCCCCCTGCTCCCTTCTCCTCCCATCCTGTCCTGCCCCTGAGCCCCCTGCTCCCTTCCCCTCCTGCCCCTGAGCCCCCTGCTCCCTCCCTTCCTGCCCCTGAGCCCTCTGCTCCCTTCTCCTCCTCTCCTGCCCCTAAGCCCCCTGCTCCCTCCTGTTCTACCCCTGAGCCCCCTGCTCCCTTCCCTCCTGCCCCTGAGCCCCCTACTCCTTTCCCTCCTTCCCTGAGACCCCTGCTCCTTTCCCTCCTGCCCTGAGCCCCCTGCTCCCTTCTCTTCCCCTCCTGTTCTACCCCTGAGCCCCCTGCTCCCTCCCCTCCTGCCCCTGAGCCCTCTGCTCCCTTCTCCTCCTCTCCTGCCCTTGAGCCCCCTACTCCCTTCTCCTCCCCTCCCCTCCTGCCCCTGAGCTCCCTTCCCCTCCCATCCTGCCCCAACCCTCCTTCTCCTCCCTCCCTCCCCTCCCCTGCTCCCTGCCCGGGTGTTCCCCTGCAGCACCTTTACCTGGGTGTTGTCACTGCTCCCACCTGGGTTTGCCCACCTGAGGTTTGCTGGGGCTGCTCGTGCAGCGACAGAAATTTTGTGTGTTTGCTCCTCGATGCCTCAGTGCCGTTTTAATCATTGCATTTTCCAGGTGTGATTTAAGAGGTTGTGTTTTTAAATATGTGTCTGCAAAAATCGAGGTGGTCTTGCTGTTTTGCCTGTTAGACTGTGGTGGCTGTTAATCAAGAATACAAGTCTTGTGTGGTTCTGAAAATGATTTCCTTATTTAATCAAGAAAGCAAGTCTTGTGTGTTTCTAAAAATGCTTTTCTTATTTAATCAAGAAAACAAGTCTTGTGTGTTTCTAAAAATTATCTTCTTATTTAATTTATTTTTTTTAAATTAAACTAACTCACTCGGATACTGAAGACATTGTGGTAGATCATGGCAGACTGTTTCTGGGAAGCAACTGAAAAAGAAAAACTAACTGAAACTGCCCCTTGTTGTTTGCAGCAAAAAAAAAAAAAAAAAAGGCCTCACAATTAATTAGTATTTTGTACATTTGTTTGTCATGTTTTATTAGGCTTTCTAGGATGTGCATCTCTTCTGTGTGGGGAGAATAAATACCCTGAAGTCCACAAACCACCAAAGACCTTCCTTGTCAGTTTGGTACAATCCAGACATATGGTGCACGTGTGCTTTTTGGTTGTGCCTGACAACAGATAAGACAGTGCTTTGCTGCAGAACTGCATTTTTCCAATCAATGATAATTAGTGAACCAGTAAACAGTATATTTTAGTAAGTCAAGTAGGAACTTATCGATCCCTCTTGAAAACACAGAGAACAGAAAACCCAGGAACTGCTGGATCTATCAGGCAGCTTTTGTGTCAAGGATTTCTTTCAGAAATGTTCTGAAAAACAGCTTTTCTTGTCAGATCTTGCTTATAATTCTCCAATGATCAAGGCTTTAAAAGATGGAAGTGCTTAATAACTGGTTGGAAAGAATTCCTGCCCCTCCTGTGTGTTGGATTTGAGGAGTGGGTCACAGCACTGGTGGTGTTTTGTCTCAGACCTGGTGCAGGTTTGTGCTGGGAAGAGCTTCTCCCTCCTTCCTTTAGCAGGTGAAGGTTCTTCAAGTTCCACGATTAGACCTGTGGGACTTGTCATTCCCAATAATTGCTCTCTGAACTGTGGCAGCACCTCTTTGTTGAGAAGGTCCCTCCCCAGGGGTGGTGGGTTCTGGTTATCAGGACCCAGGCTGGTCGATAACTCTGTGTTCACAGACTCAGTCAGCAAACACCAGTGCCAGGTGTCAGTGCCTTCATGACCACTGAAAAAGTGAGTTTGTGGTTTCAGTGGAAGGTTCTGATGCATGTCCCACATGCCCTGGGCATTGTCAGGTTCCCGTGTTGCAGCTCGTGCTCCGAGGAGCTGCTCTTTGGGCTGTGCTGAGGTTTGACACAGGCAGCAAGAATTCTGCTAAAATGTATTTACATGTTGTGTTTGAAAAGCTCCTCAATTTCCACAGTGTCAGAACATTCTCCAGTGACAAGAGTCACCTAAGTGTGACATGAACAGCAGCATTTTCCACGGGATCCTGGTGCTGGGCCAGGAAGTGCCACAGGCTCAGTGGTTTTAGTCTGGATTCTGGCACTGACCTCTGGCAGGAGTCCCGAGGTTGGGGTATCAATGCACACATTTTACTCTTGGTATTTTTGTGTGGTTGCTGATGTGCCTTTAATCCGTTGCAAACGGGTTTTCAGAGCTGGCTCAGGTTGTTTTGGAAGTGGTTTAAGGTGAACCAGAAAAAGGCATATTCATACCAAGGCAGGAAGATATGCATGGAATTACAGGGTACTGCAGTGAAACACTCAGGGTCTGCATCCTGTGCTGGTTTTAACTTCTCCTGGACAGTTGAGAAGATGCAGGTTCCTGTCTCCCCCCCAGATCATAATTTCTTTCTTTAATATTTGGATATATTGCATAACCTTTCTGTATCCTGGGAGACTTTAATTGGTACGGAAAAAAACCAGATTTTTAAGACTCTACTTTTTGAGTACAACAGTGTATAACTGTTTTGACTTCTCATAAGAATGTTCAGTTTTTAGGCGTGTCTGTATTCCTTTAATTCCTTCCTAGAACCCCAGGGAACAGCTGGAGCTCTGTCAGGGGGGTTTGGGTTGGATGTTAGGCCAAGGTTCTTCCCCCAGAGGGTGGTTGGGCACTGGAAGAGGCCAACTCAGGATATTCTCTGGGCCTAGTTAATATTAAATAGTGTCCTGTACACAGGGCACTGAAGCAAATGCTTCTGAACATGGAGTTACTGGAAGCAGCAGTAGCACCAGGCATGGAGGGTGTTCAGGCTCTTCCAGTGTTGGATTTTAGGAAATCCCTCATGTCTCCAGCTTGAGCAGCAGTGCCTGTGCAGGCACAGCACGGGCTGTCAGGGTGGGTCAGTGTAAACCTGTCCCTGTGTCAGCTGTGTCCTTGTTGCAGAGCTCACCTGGGGGTCCCAGCATGCACAGAAATAAATGCTGGGCTGGTTCCTCCAGGCCTGTGTGTGTTGGTGCTGCAGGTGTTGTGAGCACAGCGCCTGTTCCTGCTGCTCAGAACCACAGACACTGGGTTTGGTCAGAGCTTGCATGCCAGACTCTAACTAATGCTGGAAGAAAGCTTTATTGGATACATTTAATCCCATTTATGCAACCTCCCTCTTGTTTGGTTTTGCATTTCTGGCTCTGAATAACGAGTTTGATGTTCTCTTGAAATAAACAGTCCGTGAGTCCAAGGTCTGGTCCAGCCCTGCTCGATCCCAGACTGAGGCCAAAAGTGTTGCCCAACTGGTGCCTCTGCAGTTCAGGATCTTGCAAATCATTATGTTTGTGACAACTCTCCCTTCCCCTTTGAAAGGATTTAATTTTCGTTTACGGTGTGAAGTATTAACTTCAAACTGTCCATGCTGGCCTGTGATGGACTTGTAATGCACAACCTGTTGCTAATGCCACCTCTGCATAATCAGAATGGAGTAAGGGATGTTTTCTCAGCAGACTTAGAAGTTTGGGAATGTGTTTTTTGACTGCAGCTCCCCTCCAGATGTCACAGACTTCATTAAGTATTTATATGTTTATATATATATATCTTCATGCTAATACTCTGCTTTGTCCCAGCCATCTTGCTGATGCTTGGCTATGAGGAATTTAAAACACAGGCACTTTTTAGGATGGTTTATATTTGACTTTGTTTAAACTAAGGAAATACCTCCCTGGTAAGCTGGTGGGTGTGGCAGCTATAGCACAGCAGAGCTACATGTTAGGATATCTGTGTTAAAATATATATTATAATGTATAAAGTTCGAAGAGTGGTGTGAGACAACGTCAGTGTTTTGAAGGAAGTGAAGAGGTTTTAAGTAAACAACATATTTGAGTGAATGTTCTCTTTGTTTCCTCTGCAGAGCTATCATCATATCTGGAGGACCAAACTCTGTGTATGCAGAAGATGCACCGTGGTTTGACCCAGCCATATTTACAATAGGAAAACCAGTGCTTGGGATCTGCTATGGAATGCAGGTGCTGTTGGGATAATCACAGAACCCTTAAGGCTGGAAAAGATCTCTGAGATCGAGCCCAACCATTATATCTCTTTGTTCAGAACCATCTTCTGGGCCTTATTCTGTTATTAACTGAAGGTGAAGTGCTAAAGGATCTGCTTTTCTAACAGAGGCAGTGCTACTTGGGCAGGATGCTTTTAAAATCCTAGTTGAGATACTTTTAATTGTTAAACTGAGGGGGTGTGTTCATCTCTTGGCTCTGCCTTCTCATATACAGGCTTTAAGCTGAAGGAGGGCAGGTTTGGATTGGAGATTGGGAAGGAATCCTTCCCTGTGAGGGTGGTGAGGCCCTGGCACAGGTTGCCCAGAGAAGCTGTGGCTGCCCCTGGATCCCTGGAAGTGTCCAAGGCCAGGTTGGAGCAGCCTGGGACAGTGGAAGGTGTCCCTGCCCATGGCATGGAATGAGATGAGCCTTGAGGTCCCTTCCAACCCAAACCATTCCATGATCAGTAGCATAAATGGTTTTGTTTTGAGTTCCACGCTGCCCTTTTTTAGTCATAACAAATCTAACCCGTGGGTCACTAATTAATTCTGTCCAGTTGGTATTGAAAAACGAACCCCTTGGAAACAGGGGAATCAGTGTTTCAAGCATGGAATGTTTTAGCATCGTTCTGAAGAGTGTTTTACACTCCCCCCACCCCCCAAAAAAAGAAACAGCCCCACTTATCTCCCTTTGGACTCGCTGGTGGGCCTGCAGTGGTCTGCACATCCCAGCTGAGCAAGGAAACAAAATCCCGAGGAGAAAAGGGCTGGATTAGGTGCAGGCTGATTATGAAGTGATACCAGATCGAGTGGTGCTTTCTCATGGAGTGTTTTTGTTTTCCAGATGATGAACAAGGTGTTTGGAGGCACAGTGCACAAGAAGAGTGTGAGAGAAGATGGGGTGTTCAGCATCACTCTGGATAACACGTGTTCACTCTTCAGGTGCAGAGGCATTTTCAGTTACCAAAGCAATGCTGGCTATACCAGTCTGGGAAAGGGTGTGTGGATGAAAGGAACATTATTTTAAAGAAAATAGTGAAACTGCATCAACGTTTAGCTGATATACATTCTAATTAAACTTTTACAAGTGTGGTAACAAGTTACTAATTGAAACAAATACCCAGGCAAATGTTTTCAAGAAATACAGAGGGGAATCTTGTGTAACCCCCTTATTTCAAAGTAGAAAGTCTTCATTGAGACCCTGTAAAATGTACCATGACCTGGGGAATATTTGTGTTAAGCTCTTTTCTCCTGCTGTGCAGTGCTTTTGTATTGGTTGGCACCCATCCAGTTCTGGAAAGGACATAGAAAATCCCAAACCATTCGCTTTCCACCTTCCTTTGAAATTGCTTTGTGATGTTTTTATAAAGCCAGAATTAGATTTCTTGGTAGTTTGTCGGTGCCTCTCAAGTTCCTTGTAAAAGTCTGACAGTTCACTTATACCTGGTGTTCCAGTTTTATTAACTTTCCTCTGCTGGGCTCCTGCAGAACTTCATGCCCTGCCTGAGGGTGCCCAAATTGTCCTGAAAACACGTAGTTTTGAAGAAGAAAAGTTCACTTTGTTGAAATAAAAAGCAGGACTCCCGGGATCCTGATTGACTCCAGATGGCTCCACGTGTCCAAGAGGGAATGCTTCAATATTGGGATGTTTATAAGGAAAAAAAACCCAAACCCTTCAGAATTAAGGTGAATTCCCTCTTGCATGAGGGGTGTAGTGTACAAGAACTTCTGCAGTTTCCAAGGGAGACACCTTGGAGCTGGAAATGGCTGTTCCTGGGAGGGAAATCCTGCACACATTTCAAATGTCCTGGTCAAACGAGATGAGCTTTTCTTGTCATCCCTCAGGGCTCCTCTTGGAAAGGCAGGGAGTTACTTCTTTGTTCTTTCTGGAGTTGATTCTAGTTTTTAATCTTTGTTTAGGGGCCTTCAGAAGGAAGAGCTTGTGCTCCTCACTCATGGAGACAGTGTGGATAAAGTGGCCGATGGATTCAAGGTGGTGGCACAGTCTGGGAACATTATAGCAGGTATTTATTTTCTCCTGAAATTGTCTTTTGGTAACGTATGTTAAAGGAAACAATAATGGCAGACAGAAGTTAGAACCAAATGGGAACAGAGTAGTCTCCTTTGTTATTTAATTGCCAAACAAGGGAATTGTTTTTAACAATTCCTTGTGTGTGTTTGCATGTTGTGCTGTCGTGGTAATAAAGAAATGGACTTTAAAAGGAGTGGCCCTGATTGAAATCTGATTTAAGTAAGAGTTAACATTATTTTCTAGAGTTTATGTTATTCTAAAGTGTGCATGTGTTGTTTCTCTCTGGGATAGAATATCCTGTGCCCTTAGGGCAGGGGGGATGGAGGCATGTGCTGTGGTGTGCAGTGTGAGGGGGGTTTGGGTTCTGCACTGTAGTAGTACAAGTCAAACGCTGTTTAATTAATTATTAAAGCTTGATTAACTTGTTATTTAATATTGCATGAATGTTCAAGTGAGCAAGAATAATGTAGGTACTGAAAGCAGGGTTTTAACATTGCACACAGATTGTCACAGAAAAATGTAGGGCCTTAGAATTTGGGGTTTGAAAGCCACTGGAATTACTGAGTCCCAAAGAGCCCCCTCTGGAGCCTCTTTCCTTGGAGATGGGAGCCCTGGAGAGATTGTAAATATGCTGAGCATTTAGTGAGATCTCACAATTTATTCACCTGGTTTATTTAAAATCTTTCATTAAAAAGATAAAAAGGCTAAAGATTAAGCCCCTAAATCAGACAGGGACACTTGGATGCAGCTGGATCAGCATGGCTTGGATGAGGTATCATGTGAGGGGGGAAAAGTAATGGAATTTATTCCTGTTTTCCCAGTGATTTTCCCGGGATGTCTCAGTGTTTTCCTTGCTTTCTGAGGGACTGTGTGTTCTAGATATATAAGAGCACCTTTGTTCCTTATCTTAGTGAGAATCTTGAGTTTTGACTGGTGACTTGTGCCAAGAGGTGGCAGAATAAATCACTGTACACACCGTGTCAGTGCATGCTTGACCTGGGCGTGCACTCACTGCCAATTTATCATTGATTTCTGTTTTGTCACGCTCGTTTCCTCGGCCCCATGAAGGCATAGCAAACGAATCTAAGAAGCTGTATGGGGCACAGTTCCACCCCGAGGTGAGCCTCACGGTCAACGGGAAGATGATCCTGAAGAACTTCCTGTACGACATCGCGGGCTGCAGCGGCACCTTCACGGTGGAGAACAGGGAGCTGCAGTGCATCCAGGACATCAAGGACAGGGTGGGCTCCTCCAAGGTCCTGGTGAGTGCCCGGGCTCCGAGCTGGGAGATTTATCTGCACAAGCGCTGATGGTCGTCCAGATTAATTTGGAAGACGCAGAATTGTCATGATTTGGGTCGTACATTGGGTCATAGATTACCCAGGTTTTAGAACAATTGCACAGTTGGGCCAACATGTTTGGCTTCTCATTTCCTTCCAACTCACTGACTGCAGGTCAGTGCTCTGCTCTCGTCCTCCCGGCCGCGTCTGAGCTGTGTGCTGACACTTTTCCCACAGGCAGCTGCCCACATTTGGGGTTTTTTCCCGTTTTCCCTCGCCCCCAGGTGCTGCTCAGTGGCGGGGTGGACTCCACGGTGTGCACGGCCCTGCTGAACCGGGCCCTGAACCGCGAGCAGGTCATCGCCGTGCACATCGACAACGGCTTCATGCGCAAGAGGGAGAGCCAGTCCGTGGAGGAGGCCCTCAAGAAGCTGGGCATCCAAGTCAAAGGTACCACAGCTCTGCCTCAGTGTGCCTGGCACCACCAACAACCTGGCTGTTCTCCCACAGGGCTGCACTCAGTGCTCTGGTTTGCTGAGCTGCTCTTCCCAGACCTTCTCAGGTCGGTCGTTTGGAGCCGCCTGGACCCGTTACCAGAATTCAAACCTGAGATGTTAAACCTTAATTTGTTGGATTGGAGCTCACAGCGAGCTGCCCCATCTCTGGAGGAGTTCAGGTCTGGGATCTGCAGTTGGGGCAGTGGGTTTGTGCCTCAGTCGCTTCTCTGCTGATGGCTGAGGGACCCTGTTCAGCTGCTGCAAAATTCCCTGGATTTCCATTTTCTCTGGTATCCTGGTCAACACTTGGGGCTTTATTTCTTGTCCTGGATCTCTTTTTTTGTAAACTGTGAGCTCGTTTGGGTGATTGAATGCTATTAGAGCCAGAATTACTTTTTCAAGGCGTTTTTCCTTGCTTTTAAATGGGTGCATTTTGGTTGGTTTTGGAGTAGCTTTCTGAGAACAAGGTGGTGATTGGTCACAGGTTGGACTCGGTGATCCTGGAGGTCTTTTCCAACCTCAGTGATTCTGTGGTTCTATGAAGCAATTCATTATGAGTGAGCAGAAAGTGCCTTGATGTGACCAGTGAGAAGGTTCAGAGGGTTTTTTTGCCTCAAGTGTGAGGAGGTCGGAGAAGGCAGATTTTGTGCAAAGAGCCAGAGCTGCCTTACACTGCCTGGCTGAGGAATTTAATGAGTAAGAGCTGCCTGTTCTGGTGCAATGTGTGTTGTCAAGGGATCCTCCTGTGTTTTGGCCAGGAATTGTGGCACTAGGTGAGCAATGCTTTCCACTGCCTGGCCCTCAAACAGTGCAGCAAAGTCTGAGCTTTATTCTATACCCACTTTTTTTTTTTAAATTTTATTTTTTTTATCGTTACTTTTCTTTTTTAGTGGAAAATCCATGTCTTATTCCTGCAGTCTGTGGAGCAATAAACCTGGGCTCTGGCAGGCAGCCAGGGGAACAAATTGAGGGAATCCCTTTGCTGCAAGTGCTCCTTCTGTAGGTCAGGGAGTTCAGTGCTGGTAAAAGATGCCAGAGAGCCTCCCAGCTGATCCCTGGGTTGAGAGCCTCTCTAAATTAAGAGGCATAATGTAGCATGAATAAATAGTGCATCATTTAATTTTGGTTGCAGAAAGGCCTTGGGGAAACACTGTCCTGTAAACTATTTAAAGCAAGTAGATTATAATCTAAGAGGGGAAGCAACAACTGAGCTTTCAGTCACAATATGAAAAAATAACAGGTTAATAAGAGAAATAAAAGGCTTTTGTTGCAACTGATTCTTGAGGTGTTGAACAGCCCTATTTAATGCAGTCAATAGTCAAAGGACCGGTATGATTTTTATTTTCTTTTTTTTTTTAAAGCAGCAAAATGAAACTTATTTTTTTGCAACCTTGCCTACAAATCTTTACTGACTCTGTCAAAAACTCCCTGTGGTTTCCTGCAGTGGTGAATGCAGCTCATTCCTTCTATAATGGTACAACAACTCTGCCCATCTCGGATGAGGACAGAACTCCACGGAAGAGAATTAGCAAGACCTTAAATATGACCACAAGTCCTGAGGAAAAAAGAAAAATCATCGGTGACACCTTTGTTAAGGTAATGTTTATTTAGTATTTGATTGATTTTTTTTAAAATAACGTGATTTCTGGATGCACCTTTCCTGTCAGACTGTTTGATCAGTGGCATCAGTACTCATTTAGTTTGTGGATGACCTAAAGAGCCACTGGTGGGTTAGAGGGAGAATATTGAGCAGGCACTGATGTTCCTGTAGTCTGGAGGTATTTTTTCCATTTTCTGTGCAACAAAATAAAGGGTTATAGGACTATTTCAGACTATTTCTCAATTGTTTGTACTGTCACAGCTCAGTATCATTGGTCAGGCAATCCATCACCTTCTTTAGACCTGGGACAGCCAAAAGCAGACCACAGCTCTTTTCTTTGTTTTCTCCCCATCCTGCAGATTGCCAACGAGGTTATTGGGGAAATGAACCTGAAACCCGAGGAGGTTTTTCTGGCCCAGGGCACCCTCAGGCCTGACCTCATTGAAAGTGCTTCCCTGGTGGCCAGTGGCAAGGCTGAGGTGATCAAAACCCACCACAACGACACGGAGCTGATCCGGAAGCTGCGGGAGGAGGTACCGGGACAGGGGGGCTGCTGCTCACACACCAAACACTTCTCTGCTTTGCTGCTCTGACTGTCCTGCACTGATGGGACCCTGCTCTGACAAGGCCCTTGAGATTCTATTGTAATATACTGCGATTTATTACCCTTTTTTCCTAGTTTCTGCGTTCCCAAAGTAGTCAAAATTTTTGGGTGTTGTCCCAAAAGGATGTCAGAGGGTTGAAGGTGCTTCATGCAGTGTGAACAGTGATGTTCTCAGCTGCAACCCAAAAGCTGTTTCCTCACTCTGCCCTCTCAAACAAACCCATGTGTGGTGAGGAAGCAGGGCAGCACCAGTGCCTTCAGCAGCAGAGCAGTTTGGGCTTCTCAGGCAACTGGTTTAACTGGAATTTGTGGTGTAAGGGGTCACTTCTTCCTTCTGTTGCCTCTCGTTCTGGACACAAGTCAAAGAGTAATCTTTAGGTACTGATATTCCAGACCTGGCTCATGATGGATTCAGGCAAGAGCAACGACAGTGCTTTTAAAAAAGTGCTTAGAAAAAGATAATCAGCTCCTGCTGAGAGAGAAGAACAAAATTCTCCTCATCTTGAACCTCTTGTAACATTCAGCCCTTCGAGCAAAGTATTCTCGAGAGAGAGAGAGGGAATGAGAAAAACATGTTTAAATGGGTTGGAAGGTAGGGATGGTTCCTGCAGGTACCTCCAGGGGTGAGTTCTTTCTGTTCTTGTGCAGCTCCTGCCTCACATTTGTGGTAACCTGTTCAGAGATGTGCCAGCAGCACGCTGGGGGCACACACTGCCTTTGCCAGTGAGCAATTTAAGAACCCCAAGATCTTTCTGAAATGAGCCCAAAGAGGATGTCTGTGGCTGACAACCAGGAGCTTGGAGATGATGGGAACACGAGAGGTTGAGCTGTCTGAAGGCAGGCAGCCCAAGTCCTGTCCCTTTGGTGCTGTTCCCAGTTGGTCTGTTTAGTCTGAAGCCCAGAAAAGCTTTTTAAACACCTTTCCTGTGCACAGCTCTTAAGCATGTGAAGCAAATGTAGGAGACTGCCCTAATTTGCCTTTTCTGGCATTAGTTCTCTGACTGTGTCACAAAATAGTCTAAGAAAGAACCAACCTGTCACAGCCCTGGTGGAAGGTGCTCACTCATCAGTGAGTCTCACCCACAGGAGAGAACCCCTAATGACCCACACTTCTAATATCCAGCACTGCAGAATGAGTTTTCAAGGCTTTGGGGTTGGTTTGAACATCCAGCAGAGACAGGGAAGGTTTGAATTTGCACAGACAGAGCCAGTTTGACCTTCCAGCTGTGCCTGCACTGCTGGAGCCAGGGATACTTCTGGCACAAGCTGAGACTTCCTTGTCTCCCCCTCTGTCCTGCAGCTCTTTTCCAAAGCCCACATTGACATGGGACTTGTTTGCAGTGTTTATGGAATCCTTGGCACTGGTGCTGTGAGGAGCAGGCCAGTCTGACTGCCATAACCTAAACACTTGAGGCTTTTTGTTTGAACTTGTGAGCTGGAGTGTAAATTGCCTTTTTTTGTTTTGTTTTGTTTTGTTTTTAAGGGTAAAGTAATAGAACCACTGAAAGACTTTCACAAAGATGAAGTGAGAGTGCTGGGAAGAGAACTTGGCCTTCCTGAGGAGCTGGTTTCCAGGCACCCCTTCCCAGGTATGGGAGCTGGTCTGTGCTGTTAGTGCAGGGCTGTGGGTCACACCAGTGCTGTTCAGCAGATGCTTAACTGCAGTGTGCTGGAGTATAAAACTGATCTCTAAACACAGAACAGTTCAATTTAGGGTTTTATTTTAGCAGGATCTTCTTTCAGGAGAAGATCTGAGAGCAGCTTAATAAATACACTTAATAAAAGCAAACGTGTTGGAATTGAATTTGCCCTGAGCTGCATTTGTTCCTTTCCAGCTGTAGCAGCCAAACAGGGATTCCCAGGAAGTGCAGTGGGTGCTGCCTGAGCTGCCACGTGCCCATCCCACCTGGAGTAATGGCCTGGCTCTGCCTTTCCAGGGGGCATCTGCTGCTTTGAGAATGAAAGCCTGGAGACTGACACGAGTTCTCCACCAGGAGACAACTAAGTGGAAAATACAGCCAACTCCTTTCCAGAGGGGATGTTTGAGCACAGGGGCTGTGCTAATGCAGCAGCATCCCAGGCAAGGCAAGGACCTGCCTCTTCCAGCACATTGCACTCTTATATTAAGTAGCTAAAAGGTCAAACAGCCCTCAGGAGTCTTTAAAAGCAGTGGAGACTCCTCTGTGTGTTATACCCAGAGTTCTCAGTTGCCTGGCAAAGGGAGGGAGGAGGTTCCTGCTCATTTTGGATTTCCAGCCAGCATTCATCACCACAAACTGCTCCACTGCACCACCAGCACGTTCAAGGCATAGACAGTCAATGCTTAAATGTAGATTAATCCTTAAATGTCCTGAACAGGAATGTCCTTCTGGAATAAACTGCCTGTGGGTTGGGTTTTTGTGCCTTGCAGGGTGTTAAGACAATTGAAGTGCAGGTACAATGGCAAAATACACTGTACTCAGGCCCTGACCCACTGCTCCACGTTTCTGGGAGAAAATCAGCTTCCTGTTATTCAGTGTGATGTTTTCCCAATGCTGCTTTGCAGGTCCTGGCCTGGCAATCAGGGTGATTTGTGCTGAAGAACCTTATGTGTGCAAAGACTTCCCAGAGACAAACAACATCCTGAAAATCGTTGCGGATTTTTCTGCGAGTGTGAAGAAGGTCAGAGAACTGTGAATTTTAATGGGCACAGAAGTAGTGGGATTGTTCTGCAGTGGCCTGCAGTGAGGTTTAAACTGCTAAAAGGTCCAAATGTCTACTTTGTGCTCTGTAAGGGATGATGAGTCCCGGTACAACTCAGTTGAAGCGGTTCAGTGCAGTGTTGAACAGTTCAGTGTTGAACAGTTTCTGGAAAGGGGGAGTTTATTCACCCTTTAGATCATAAACAAGTTTTGTTGCAGTTAAACTTTGTGCAGATGAGGTTTCTGGAGATGCTTCAAATCACACAGTATTAGGAAAAGGTCTTCCCTCCCTGAAATGATTGTGCAGATGACAGTGCAGGAGTGAGGAACTGGTGCTTGCTGGGTGTCCTGGACCAAAACCTGGAGGTTTTAATTGGTGATGTTTAAATTCTGTATCTCTTAACTGTGATGACCTTTGAGATTGCTCTAAGCTCACACAGAGGTGAAAAGTCCTTAGCAGGGACCTGCTCTGAGGTGTGTAAGTTCAAAAAAACTTCCCAAAGCTTTTTTGTAAATCCTGAAGGGCTAATATTTACATCTGCTTTTCCTTTAAAAAGCATTGTAGTGCCACAGAAATGAAAAGTGCAGCTTTGGGAAAGAGTGAGCACAAGAAAAGAGCTTCCTCTGTGGCCTTGGAGAGCCTCAGCCTAAAGTACAGACTAATCAAAGAAAAGTGCTTTTGCTAATATTTAATTGTCAAATGAAAGGTATTTTTTAAAATAGTTCCAAGGGGTAAATGTAGACTAAATTTAAGCAAACAGCTACTTCCATAACGTTTTTATTTGCACTGTGCAGGTTCTGTTTGAGGGCTTGGGAGTTTCTTTAACTAAAATGTGTTTTTCTGCCTCCTTGCACAGCCACACACTTTGCTGCAGAGGGTCAAGGCGTGTACAAGTGAGGAAGACCAGGAGAAGCTGATGCAGATCACAAGCCTACATTCACTGAATGCCTTCTTGCTACCAATCAAAACTGTGGGAGTGCAGGTAAAGGGAGGCATTCCAGGGATGGCCTGGGAGCTCCTTCCTGCTGGGGTGGCAGGCTGGGGAGAAACATCATAACTGCTGCCTTGAGATGTGGGAATAAAGAGCTTGAGTCAAGGAGACAAACTCCAAATGGCAGTGAGGGCTTTGGCAGTGCAGAGGTGTCAGGATGCCTGAAGGGACACTCAGGCAAGTGCCAGGGCTTGGGTTTGAGGGTATTATCCAGGTTTGGTGATGCTGGTCACTCCCAGGCAGTTTCTTCCCAACATTCCCAGCCCCACTGACCTCTGCTGTTGTCTGTTGTCCCTGATAAGACTCAGGAGTCTCAGGCTATGGTGGTTAAAAATCCCTCCTTCCTACATTTGCCCCTTCCTGTGTTTTTTTGAACTGCACTAATCCTGGGAAGGAGCTGGAGCAGTGCAGGGAACCCTGGGATCTGTGCAGCACCAGTGTTACCTTCCTTTTCCCTCCTGTGGGGACAGAGATCCAAACCAAGTGCTGAGCTGGCATTCCCATGGAATTGTGTGCAATAACTTGGAGGATTTCTTTACTGAGCAGTCACAGCTGTAAAGAACCTTTCTCTGCAGTATCAGTATTGAGTTACATATATTTTATTATCACTGCTTAGTGTCATGTGTGGCTTCTGTGGCTCTCTGCAGTCAGCTTTTGTTAGTGTTTGAAGCTGCAGTGTCATCAGATTTCTGCACTTTGTCACAAAAATTCCAACACACAATCAGTCCCTCTTCTCTGGTCGCTGTAATGAATCTCCCCAGTCTGAATCTTTCCTTTTATACATGTATATCTTTATATATATGTTTCCTAAGCCTGAATTTTACCTTTTATACACTGTTAGCTCTGTTATCTTGCTCTGTGTTTCCTCATCCCCTCGGCACCTCCCACCACACTGATTTCACCAACTCGGTGTCTGCTGAAAGTTGGCCCAAAATATGGCCCCTGTCACCTGCAGGGTGAAGAGGAAAGTCTTGTGAGTGGTTTTGGCAGCCCAGTTGCCACCCAGTCATTGCTGTTTGTGCCTTGCAGGGCGACTGTCGCTCCTACAGCTACGTCTGTGGCATCTCCAGCAAAGATGCTCCACACTGGGAGTCCCTGATGTTCCTTGCCAGGCTCATCCCACGCATGTGCCACAACATAAACAGGTAAGGATCGAATTATCTTTATTTTTAATGAGCTAATTAGTATATGAGAGTTTAGCTTGCACAAACATTTTCCTCTTTGGGGTACAATTTTTTATATGTTGGGCCATTGTCTTATACAGAGGTTATAAATACACAACAAATCAAAATACAGATTTATTTCTAGCTTGAAAAGAAACTGATAGCCTACCAGCCTACCCCCTCATTTTTTAGAGCACTTGATTAGACAACATCCAATATAACTCATGCAAATCTCTTCTGCAAGGCTCCAGCCTGCTGATGAGCTGTGCTGTCCTGCAGTCTGGTTTTGCTGTGTGTCAGAAAGGGATTTCCATGGGGATGTCAGTTCTAGTGGCACAAGGAGAGCTCCAAAGCTGGGCAGTTTGATCTTAATTGAGCTCTCTGTGAGGATACATTTTCCACCTACTTGATTCCATAACTTTTCCCAGCAGCTGACGTTGCTTAGACATTAAATCAGCTCTGGAGAATCACACCCTCCTCGCCTGGCTGGGGGATTTCTGGTGAAACTGCTTCTAATTGCTTGTAGCAAACCTTAATTTTCTCACAGAAGTGACACCTGCTGACAGAGCTATTATCCTGGAAGGTGAGACCTGGAATTGCAAGATAATTGGTTAAATTAAATGCAGAGGGGACAAAAGAAGGTCTAAATCAGGATTGCCTGTGCAATGTGTGCTGGCTTCACAGCATTGCTGACTTCTTTAGGCTCTTCTGGATTTCATGGTGCCCCCCCTGAGGGGGCTGTGCTCTCCCAGGGGGTGTTTGCAGACTCTGCTGCTGTTTGCAGGGACAGGGAGACTGGCAGCCAGGAGGGCACTGGGATGGTTGGTCTCCTGCCCAGCTGTGCTCGCAGGCTTTGTGTGGCAAACAAAAATACACAGCCTGAACTTGCATATTTTTCTGCCTTGGATTTCAGACAAGCATTCTTGGTTTGTATGCACAGACTCAGATAACTGGTGTGTCCTGGTGGATCCATGTCCCAGGCACTCAGACATGTCACACTCTGCTCTGGGCTCTGCAGGGAGGGTGACAGGGAAAGGCTGATGTGGCTGGTTTGGATTCAGAAGATACTTTATCACAGGTGTAATTATGCAGATTTATAAATTGCAGTGTTAGTGCCCTGTGCTGAACACACAGCTCTTCATTGACAATAAGGTTTAGTATTTAATGGGGCTTTTGCTGGGTTCCTGTTAGAAACTGGAAGCAAAATAAAATATGCTGCTTCCTCGTCACAGTGAGAAAACAGGACACTAAGGTGCAGTCTGGAGGCAATTTGTTTTATTCTGTGAATGTAAAATGTGGGTTTTTTCCCCCCCTCCCATCTGTTGCAGAGTCGTGTATGTGTTTGGCCCCCCGGTCAAAGAGCCCCCCACAGATGTCACCCCCACGTTCCTGACCACAGGAGTCCTCAGCACTTTACGTCAAGCTGACTTTGAGGCTCACAACATTCTCAGGGAGTCTGGTAGGTGCTCCTCCTTATCCCATCCCTGCAAACCTGGTGGGAACAGTTACAGGGGTACTGTCAAAATCTATAACCTTCCCAAATACCTGCAGAGAAGGTGGTCAGCTAGTGGGATGACAGGCTCTGGTGAAAGTTGCAGAAGCTGATAGCTAAAGGACAGGAATTAATTGTAGGGGATTTTGGGGAACTGAGGCTTGCCTCTGACATGCCATGTGGTGCTGTGGTGCTTCACTGCACTGCAGACTTGTGCAAAAGGTGCTGTCAGCCAGCTGGAAGTCAGCAAAGTTCCTTCTCTCTGCTGCTCTCAGTCCTCAGGATTTACCTGAAGTAAAGAAACTTGGCAGAGTTTTTAAACAGTGAGTTTTTTTGTGGTAAGAAGGGAGCCCAAATACCAAGTTTCCAATGGTGCTGATGCTCCTGCCTGCCCGTGGTGCTTTCCTGTTCCTTAACTCGAAGTGAAAGCTGTGTTTGTCCACCCAAACCCTGCACTCCCAGGGGGTGTTCACTTCCCTGGTGCACAGCCAGTCTGGGAATGGAGAGTTCTGAGGTTCAGTTTTATGTTTTTAATTACCTTTGGAGATGTGATCTGTGTGGGAAGCACTGCCTCAGACTTGCCTATATTTTGTATAAATCAAGTTAGAGCAGATACCTCTTTTTGAGAATCCATGTTCAGTTTGCAGAGCAGTCTGAACAGAATTTGTACAAGATTCCCCTCAGAAGGCTGTGGATAACACTGTTGGTTGTGTTGGTAAAGCTGTGGCTGTGTCTTGCTAACTTTTGGTGACACTTGGCTTTGTGTGAATGAATCGCTCCTAAAAATAAGCCTGGAGTTCTGATTTAGTGAAAAAACCTCCTTGTGCCAGCAGCTGAGGCCAGGGCTGGCAGAGGGGGGGAGCCTGAGCTCTGTGAGCTGCCACACACCTCCATATCAGACTTTTAGATCACTGAAACAGGGAAATTAGGGATCTGTGTATTGGCTTTCAGAAGGAGATAATTTAGAAAGAAGTAAGTGAGAGATGATTGTCTGGGGTTACCTGTCAGCCACCAGCCATGGGGATACTGGAGAGCTTTCTCTTGAATTGTTCAAAGAGTATTTCAAAGGCCTATTTGTGAATGGCTCTTTATTGGGCTTGATATATTGGGGTTGATAAAACCCCATGGCTGTGTTAATTGGGAAGGAAAGTGGATCTTTGGTTGATTCACAGCAAATTACAGGGATAACAGAGATTATCTGGGATTTTTCTGCGTGCCTGCAAAGGCTGAGGATCATCTCAAGTGGCAACTTATAGAATCATAGAAAGGTTTGGGTTGGGAGGGACCTTAAAGCTCATCCAGTTTTCCCCCCTGCCATGGGCAGGGACACCTTCCACTAGCCCAGGGTGCTCCAAGCCCTGTCCAACTTGGCCTTGGACACTTCCAGGGATCCAGGGGCAACCACAGCTTCTCTGGGCAACCTGTGCCAGGGCCTCCCCAGTGCCCCCAGTGCTGATTTGAGTGATGCCCCACTGTGATCTCCGGGGTGCCACAGCAGCAGGGAGAAGATCCCACGGGGTGTAAATGCAGCTGCTGGTGCAGGATTTGAAGCCCAGGTGGGGATTCTGCCCCGCTGGTGCCTGCAGCCCAAATTAACGCCCTCTGCACGACCCTTCCCTGAAGGTTACGCCGGAAAAATCAGCCAGATGCCGATAATCCTGACCCCCCTGCACTTCGACCGGGACCCCCTGCAGAAGCAGCCCTCCTGCCAGAGGTCTGTGGTCATCAGGCCCTTCATCACCAGTGACTTCATGACTGGCATCGCAGCCACCCCTGGCAACGAGGTCCCAGAGGAGGTAACGTGGCCTTCAGGCTCCTCCTCACCAGAGGGCTCATTTCCACCTTCCTCTCTCTCTCTCTCTCTGGGTTACCTTGACTTTGATTTCCTTGCTGTTTTTTCTCTTTCCTAATGTTCCTTAGCCAGAATATCGTGGTGGTTTGGGAAAAGCTAACAAAATGAGGAGCTGGCAGATGGGTGTGACAAACTTAAAAAGGCTTTCCAGCAGAGCTGAGCCAAAATGCCACCAAGAAAAGAAAAGAACACCCAGCCATTCCTGGGATTTTGTAATTAATTTTTTGCATTAGTAACTGGAAATAATTACGTCATGAATTGCCCTCGACTGACAGTTCTGGTTTTAACATCTCAGTGTCCTGTTTGCTCTTTAGGTCACTAAAAGGATTTAGGAGTCAGGTTCAGGTGCTTTTTTCTGGAAAACTATCCATATCCAGTTTCAGGTACTTTGGTGACACAGAGCAGAGCGTGTTCCTGCTGAACTGTAATGAACAGCTCTGAGGCTGAAGAGCTGCTGCCTTGAGGGATGTGTTTTGTGATCCACAGCCTGGTTTAGTCTGTGCCAAAAGTCAGCAAGTCCCAACTGTACCTGCAGATACCCTGAGCCAGAGGTTTTGGTTCAGTTGATTGTTAATTGGTGTCCATGTGCTGATGGCAGGAGGCTCTTCCTCCTCTGTGTCTGACAGAACCAGTGTGAGCAGTTTTCCTTTAAGCTTTTCTCAGATAATTTTCTTCAGTTTTGTTTCACACGCTTTTTTTTTCTGATCTTCTTTTTCCCCTCCACAACAGGTTGTGTTGAAAATGGTGGCAGAGATCAAGAAGATCCCTGGCATTTCTCGGGTGATGTACGACTTGACATCAAAGCCACCAGGAACTACGGAGTGGGAGTAATTAACTCTTTTTTTCTACCCAAGTACTGTGTGCAGTTCTAAACCATATCAGAAACCATTCCCAGTGTTGACATGCAGTACTGTGAAAGAGTGACTGGAGCTGCTACATCGCATCAGATTCCTCTCCTGGAGCATAATCCTGCAGTTCAGAGCTGTGCTGGGGATGATCCCGCCGCGGGGTGAGGAGGTGAGGATTGTACGGGTAAAGAACCGTGGCAGCACTGCCGGGCACACACAGGTCCCTCCTGCTTCTGCCTCTGTCTTACAGTTCTCCCCGTTGTTCTCATGGGTTTTACTGTCATTTCGGTGTCTCTTTTTGGTTTTTTTTGTACACTGTGTAAAAAGAGACAGTTTATTTACTTCTACCAAAAGCATTGTTCCAGCCTAGACGTGTAAAAGGAATCCTTTGTGACCAACTGCTTTCGGACGGATTTATTATAAATAAATATTTTGCCAAATGGAGTGGTGGGCACTGTCGAGTTGTGCAGTTACTGTGTATGTTGTGTGCTGTTAACTTGTTCTATATTGTTTGACTCCTGGCCCATGGCAATAATGTTGAGCGAGGCTGAAATCTCCTGCCATCCCCTCTGTCCGTGTGTCTGTCCTGGCCCAGCAGGTGAGTGTGTGCTGACACACTCCCTGTGTGTGTGCCCGTGGCAAAGTCCAGGCAGGGCAGGATCCCTGTGTGCTCTGGGGATGGACAGAAGTGTCACACTGGGAGTGCAGCTGGCACAGCTGTTGCACCAGAGCTGCTGGATCCCAGAGCCCTGTTTGCCCCCCCACTGCCCCCGTGCTTTCCTGGGACTTGGTGACAGTTTATTTTCTACACATTTGCTTTCACAGGAGTTTTTTGGGGTATGTATTTGTGCTTTGCTTGATCTGTGAGGTCATTCTAGTCGTTAGTGTGAAGCCCTGGGGTCGGGGCTGACTTCCCAACCCGTGTAGATCCTCCTGTCACTCGTGTTCTGCTGTTTGTAGTGAAGCAATAATTGCAGAGATGGATACTTTGGACGTGGAGCTTTTCTGATGGTTTGAGGCAAAGCCATTTCCATCCACCTGAGAATCCTGAGCATGCCCTGTGCCAGGAACAGTTGGATTCTGACCTGAGCAGGTTGCTGGGTGCCTGCTGGTGCCTCCCCGGGAGAACTGGAATGTGTATCCAGGCTCATCCCTCTTATCCCTGTTTTCTGGTTTAAGCAGTTGTTCTGTTCAGCTGCAAGTTCACCATAGTGTTATGGGGTAAAATACTTGGTTTAAACTGTTCAGTAACATGGGGTATTTCATGGCTGTAGCTACTTCTCTGTCCCCTTGCCTGGATTTGTGAACTGGAATAATGTTGGAAGTGTTTGTTCTATATTTTTGGTCGCACACATTTTCCTGTTCTTACATTCACTGCCTACACGTTATGGAAATTGGGTTTAATTTCTGCTCGTAGGAAATGGCCAACTGGTGTAAATGTTTTCTTTTGCCTGTGTCAGGGGTGGTTTTTTCACGAGGGGGAGGAGATGGTGTGTTCCAGCCCTCTGCTCCGGGGGCTGATGGGGACACGGGGGTGCAGGAGGGCAGCAAACCAGTGGCTGGTGTGATGTGGAGTGGGGACCTGCCTCCCCCTCCAGCCCTGCTCCTGGAGGGCTTTGCAGCCTGGGCAAATTGAACTTAGCCTGTCTCAGTTGTCTCCTTTAGAACGGGGAGTGGTGACTTGCACCAGTCACCGTCTCCCGGAGCCCTTTGGATGAGCTTTTTGTGGTGTCAGTGATTGCCAATCCAGACGTTCCTTTGCTGCAGGAGGGTGATTTGTGGGAGCTCTTGGTTAAACCCTGCATGTGGAGTTTGCTGGGGCAGAACCTGGCCTGGCAGGGTCCTGGGCAGACAAGCTGGTCTCAGGGGAGAGCTGCCTGAGGAAGGTACAGCTTCAGAGTGCACTTCATTTCTGGTCGGGGAAGGAAAGGCTCAGGACAGCTGCTGTCATTGCTGGGTGGTGTCTCTGCTCCAAAGGGTGCAAGAAGTGAAGCCTTTTGGAGTGGTGCAGAAATCCCTGAGCCCTGAGCCTTTCCTGCTCCCCCAGCTCTCCCTGTGCGCAGGCTCAGCCCCGCTGCTGCTGCTCGGGTTGCCTTGACAGCAAACAGGCAAAGCTGGAGGAGTCACTAAAAATAATGCAAATAGTGCAGAGCCCCTTGAAAAACAAACCCCTCCTCGGGTTTGGCCAAGACACCAGGTCTCTGTGCAGGTGGCCCTGCAGTCTGTAGTGCCATAGTTCTGATGTAACTCGGGATAAAACCCTCGTGGTGATGGTTGGGGGTCACAGGAGGGGTTGTACCTCTGCCCACACACCTGCAGCACACCTGGGCAGCAATCCCTTCCTCACTGCATGCTGCACACTTGGAAAAGCCCTCCTTGGAGTTAAAGGATGTCTCCCTGTGTCCTGAAGTCTGCCACGCGCTCATCCCATCCCTTAATCCCCTGGGCTGCGTTCCTGCAGCTGGACAGCAGTCCCGTCTTCTTCTCTTTAAGCCAGAAGGTTGACTATTGAAAATGTTAGGCATAAACTGTTGCACTATAAATCCAGATGTCTTATGGAAGTGGGATTTGTGCCCCTCAGCTCTCTCCCCCGCCCTGTTTGACACCTGTGCCGTGCGTTGTGGCCGTGGTGGGTTGTTCTTGGGAAGGTTGGTGTGATCATCCCGGCGGTTCTTGGGTGTTTCTGTGGAATCCACGTGTAACTGGACAGCCACAAGTGGAGAGAAACATCATACTCTGTTCACATTTCTTAAAAAAAAAAATATATTTAGCACCTAGTTTACAAACTAATACCTGTAGCTGCCCTGTACAATTGTTCACCTCGAGTCTTCAGTAAAACATGTCAGCAGTTAGAGGAATTTGTATTGGGGGCATTCCCCATCAGTCTCAATTTTTAACATTTTTCTGCTTGTGAAATGATAAAAGTACTGTGAGCCTTAATTTTTATCCACAAATAAAAATATTATGTTTGAACCTTGGTGTGACTTTTTTTTTAAGGTCTTACATATAGAAACTATATTATAAATATAGTTTGTACATGTATGTTATAAATGGGAGTGTATTTTGGGTTGAAAAAGCTGATTTTTTTTTTTTAATGTAATTGATTTAAATGTGTGATCAAGAGCCCTGTTAGAACTGGGATGTTTTTCTTGTGGATCCCTCCCCTGAGGGGGTTAAGGTACAAAGGTCAATATAAAGCTGCTTGTGGGATTTCTTCCCGTTTTTAATGTTTTTTTAGGGTGGAAAAAAACATGGAAAACTGTTGTGGACAGCCAGGTTGGAATTGTGTGTTAATTAAGAGAAGTGTTAATTAAAGAGGAGAGTTTCTGCTCCTTGCAGGGGCAGGAGGTGGGTGCTGGAGCTGAGGGTCTGTGCTGGGGTGGGTTGGGGACCATCCGTGTCCTGCTGCTCCGGGGGGGCCCAGGCTCACCCCCCTCCCCAGGAGGTGTCTGCCCAGCTCCCTGTGCCCACACTTCCCTTGATGAAGCAGCAGGAATAATTCAGGGCTGCCATCCATAATTCATGGCTCTGACACCTGACCGTGGGACCGTGACCCGGTCACTGACACCAGAGCCCTGGTGCTGCTGTGCCTGCTGTGGAAACCTGGGATGCTGCTGGAAAAGGGGAGCTCAGTGCCCTGGGCTCCTGCTCCTACAGCTCTGCCCGTGGTGGCCCTCGGTGCTGTCGGGTTTGTGGCCAGGACTGATGTTCCTGAGCAGCTTTTATCCCTCGGGATCACTTCCAGGTGCACCCTGAGCATCCAGTGCTGCTCTGGCACTTTGCTCCCCGGGCTCCTTTTGTCATGGTTTGGGCAGGGTGTGACCTGGGACAGGCTGCCCAGCTTCTCCTTTCATGCCTGGAGCTCGCCCAGCTCTCCAGGTTTCTTGGTGTGAAGGTGAGATGCTGCTCAGGACGTGGGGAATGCAGGGGGGATCAGTTGGATTTTGGGGTTTTTAGAGGAAAAAAGGAGGTTTCCTGGCTGACCACAAGTCTCAGAGGCTCTGGAGCAATGCCCACCTCTCCTTTGCAGCTCTGGGCACTCCCAGTGGCACAGGGGCCTGGAGCTGAGGGAAATGCTGGACCTGTGTAGGGGCAGCTGGATTTTGGAGGGGATGGATGGGGGAGCAGGGACCCAGCACCACCCCCCCGTTGGGTTTGGGGATGGCTGAGTCAGGGCTGGGATTTGGGATGATCTTTGTGCTGTGCAGAGCTGGGGTTTATTTTTAGTCCCTTCTGTGGTGCTGATTGCCATGGCAATGCCACAGCACCGCCGGCGCTCCCAGGGATGGGCTGATGGTGCTGCTCCAGGACCAGGGGACAGGGACAGGGCTCCTGGCCATGGGTTTGGGGAAGAGTGGCAGCTCAGTGTCCCCTGTCTGGTCCATGATTTAGATTCAGCTCACAGCCAGAGCTGGGGCTCGCTGCCTGCCCCAGCTGGGCTCCCCACCTCTGGAAGACACAGCCCTCCAGGCACAGGAGCCTGTCCAGGAGCTGCATCCTGGGAGCATTAACTGCTCAGCACCTGGTCAGCTAAGGCAGCTCAGCCTTTTGGGCTGAAGGTCGTGCAGAAAAGCAGAGAACAGGGTGGGTGCTCCTGCACCTCCTCGTGCTGTTTGAGAAGGGTCAGGGATCATCAGGCTCCAGGGCTGGGGCTGGGGCTCTGTCCCACAGCCTCCCTCAGCCCCTGCCCAGCACAGCCACGTGCCTCCAGAGAGGTCTCAGTGTCTGGATTCCCCTTGACCTTGGAAAACGTTCCCCTTTCTAATCACGGGGTGCTCGGTCACCACTTGGTGCAACCCAGAGCAGACCCAGCGGAGCAGCTCGTCAGTGACCTCACCGACCCCAGCAAAGAGGGGAAAAAAGAGTTAATTAACATACCCAGGAATTTTTCTCTTCACTTGGGTGTGCTGGGACTGGCCTTTGGCCCCACAGTCACATCTAGAAATTATTGGAGCCGATCAAAGGCTGAAGAGAGCCACTTCCATCAGTTCTAATTTCAGCAGATTGACTCACTGGAGCTGCCTGTGACCCGCTGCCCCCTGAGCTCCCACATCCCTCACGCCCTTCAGGGAGGCAGCTGGGAGCTCTCTGCCCTTGGGATTTGGGTTAACAGGTGGGCTCAACGATCTTACAGGTCTTTTCCAACCTGGACACTTCCATGATTCCACGCTGTGGGACGGAATCATGGGGTGAGGTTTGCTGGGGACGCCCGGGCACAAAGCCAGTGGCTGCTGGCTGAGCAGAAGTTCATAAGTCACTGCATTTAAGCGCTGTCAGAGCAGGGTGAACCACTTAGGCCCAATTAAGTGCCTTAATGAAGCTTTCCCTGATGGGGTTTCAATTACGTGGAGCAGAGAGTGTGAAGCAGCAGAGCTGTGAGCATCCCGGCTAATTGGATGAGGATTTGGGAATGACTGTGCTCCTGTGGGACCAAACATGTGTGTTTGCTTAGGTATCACTT